ATAAAAACCCAATAGGTGTTCGAGTCCCTCTCCACTCTATCCAAAACTTAAAAAAATGTTTTGCTTTTAGTTATACTTTAATGTTAACATCGAATTCCCTGCACTGATGCCCCTCTTCCATGACAACGTCTGTCCACAGCTCTGGTCTCTAGTAATGTACTGACTATGCCGACAGCTCTCCTGCTACCTGGCCATGATATAGCCTTACTTTATGGTAAGATCAATGACAGTAGAGAGGTAGCCTGGGAGCCCTATCAAAATTTTGCTATGGAGCCCAATGAACCGTATTCATGTTCCTGCTTAGAAACCTATGTGTAGTGTAGACAAAAAGACAAAATTAACATGTTCAGTGAAGAATGTTGTCCGTGTTAATACAAGTAAGAGGAAATATAAGATTTATACCCAAGGAATGTGCCGCGGTGGTTTTGGAGCTGAAGAACCGGCCAAGTCCAAGGTCTCCTAACTTCACAACTCCTGTTGCTGTGATAAAGACGTTAGCAGGTTTTATATCTGTAGGAAAGTAGTAAAAATTAGTTTAACATGACCATATTTTGTACAAATAAAATAAAAATTGTGCCCTGGCACAGTTGCTTGATGTGCTTAAGGACAGAGAGAAATGATAATATATCAAGAAATCCAAGCATCAGCTTTCATAACAATGCCGTGGATTTCTCACCTACCTACTTTTTTATACTGATTATTTCTGCTGTACAAACTTTATCTCAAAACTCTTAGGCACAAATCTGACAAACGGTCTAAGCCTTTCATCAGCATACTGCATCTGGTACAAACCATAGCATGAACAAAACTGTTGGGTTCAATAAGCGTGAAGACAAGAATGCCTTTATGAGATTCATAGAAATGAGACAAAAGTAAAGTGGCGCTGAAGTAATACAGATCAGAGGAAGAAGTAACTTATATATACAGTATGTAGAAATAGGGAAGTATTTGTGTATATAGAATGGAAATAGCAAATAATAGATACAAATAAATATCACTAATCACAATAAATGTTAAAATGTAGCAAAAGTACGCCCAGAGAATCAGCTATACAACATACCACTAGTACTTAGTGTTGCTGCCAGTTCAAGGAAGTGGGAGCTGGAACTCCAAGTACACTGACCATGACAAATGTGGGAAAGCATAGTCAACCCTATGTGGTAAATCAATACTGATTTATTAAAAAAAACATAGCAGTAACACACTCACAAGGATTTGGGAAGCAAGGCAAGAACCAGCATTCCACTCAACTCAGTCTCTACACATCCTTTGCCTCTACCATAACAAGTGTTTGGGGATACACATGGGTGCCTAGAGCTGTACAACATAAATTTCAGATGTATAATTCAGTTTTACATTCTGTGGCCCCATGTACATGAGGGCTAGAACATTCCAGTCCACATAGGTCTATACATGAGGGGAATAGACCTCTATCGACAATCCTGGCTCTACAAACTCAAGCGCATGAAGAAGACATAGCACATTCCAAGAAAAACCTCTTTCCCTCCCTCAGCCTGACGATTAGCTTCTTTTAGGACAACAGCATCCCCAGCCACTAGCCATGGCAGGGCGAGGGATCTGTGGAAACTAAATAGACCTGTATCAACAATCCTGGCTATGCAAACTCAAGAGCATTAAGAGGTCACAGTACATGTTTCAAGAAAAACTCTTTCCTTTCCTCAGCTTGTTTTAGTACAACTGCATTCTGAACTACTAGCCATGGCAGGGTGAGAGATCTGTAGAGGCTGGGTAGAACGGACAGCCTATTCTTTCCTTGCTTTCCAACCATCTGTGGGTATAGTATCAGCAAGAGATGACAGCAAGATGGGGTCTTGCTGCATTATATCATACTGCCCAATGTACATGTCATGTTAATAGGCCCTCTAAATTCTCAGGCACATTGTGGGTCCTTGCATTTGCCCAGTTGGCACAAATGGTGCATCCACCCCTCGGTCTTTTGTCATGAGGGAGAGAACACAAGACGTACTGTAGTGGGAGACAGAAAAGGACCAAATGACCCCAACCTGACTACCTGTTTAAGCAAACTGATAGTTTAAACTTTTTCCCACGGGGCTGAGACATTTTGTGTTGCATTAAATGCACCCTTGGTTGGTATAAGCATTTGCGTTATGCTTTGGCAAAACATAAAAGTGGAAAAGAAATCTTCTAAACTGCCTATGAATTGTTCTTTGTCTTGTGCAACTTTCCGTGTTTGGTACTAATCACATAACAGATATCGATGAGATGGTAAAGTACACAAACTACGAAGAACTGCTCAGTAGTTGGACACTTATTAATCAGGACAACCTAGTTTAATAAGACCACACTGTCAACATGTTCACTCTCTACCTTTCCAGTTACAAGTTCAACCTCTACAAAGACTAAGGTAAGGCTCTAAGCCTGTGCTCTGATATCCCAATAACTTCAAAACAAGCAATGTTACGCTGACCAAAGGATTTGTCCTTTTACTCGGCACCATTCTATAGGAGAGAGCAGGCTTGGAAACAAACCACTCTAGGCACTTAAAGAGCATTACAAGCTTGATCAGGAAACTTTCTCAAAAGGGGAAGTCATGTGTCCCAATGCCCTAAACACAACATGAATTCAAAACTCTGATCAATGCTTTTGTATTCTACACTTCACAGCTAGGCTGTGCAAAGACCTTCAGCAAGGAATCAAAACACATCATCCTCTGACAGTTTCATCAGGTCCAATCAGAGCTAAGCTTCAAAGACTGGATGAAACAAAAATGTTCAGAGGTAACAGGATGAACAGACGGCGGCAAAAAACAAGTTTGTTAACTAGCTCAGTGCTGGTGACTTGTGACATATCAGTGCCTGAATCCAGGGCAACATTAACAGCCTTAATATCAAAATAAGTATCTCTGTCTTCAGCAATTATTTTTTTAAGTGATAAATACAGAACAAACACACTATGGGTTTATCAATATTATTTCCTTCCTTTATTTCTACAATGCTCTGCAGATGCATTTACCAAATAACTAAACCACATATTGTGCAAACTGGAATTAAAATAGATTTAATTGTGCTTTTTACTATTGGATTCATGCAGCATACTGTGAGGTTATATCATGTCTTCACAGTGTTATGTATGCTGTATGAATCAAATGGTAAAAATTTAAATTAAATCTGTAATGACACAAAAAATAAATATACAAAAAGCAGACATTTGTAGATTATATAAATATTCACAGCCTGAGTAAATGTACATTGTTTGTGATGAAAGCTGTGTGTTATTTGAAATAAGAATTTACCACTCTTGCACATCTGAATCTACAAATGTATCTAGCTCTGTAATGCTGGATGGCAAAAGCTGGTGTAGAGTTTTTTTGTTGCTTCTTCAAAACTTTGTACTGGACTCATTTTGGTAGCCTTTTAATGCTGACCCTACATAGCTTGAATTTTGGCAAACTCCTGCTGAATCCAACATTGTGGCCAGGGGTGGCCCCATTGGCACCAACTTGCTAGAGAAAGCTTTGAAAATTGAGGATGGGTGGGAAACTCTTGGCTGAACCATGACTGCAACCACTCATGCAGTTAAAGTTCGGGTTTTTTGACAGACATGGGGCACAGCCAAGCAGAAGCAAGAGAAGCACTCACTTTCGGCACTGTGCTGAGGGAGGGGCACAGGGGTGAACTCTTGTTTCCACATCACCCTGGCCATCTGCTGCCTTGTACTGGACCTGGTTTTCAAACTAACAGTTCAGTCTTGCAGATTAGACTGGGAGTCACTGGGTGTGACACCCAAATTCTGTTCCCCATTAATTTATAAATTAACCACATCCTGACTTTGTACATATATATATACAGTACATCCTTGGGAAGTTCTGCTGAAATCTGGGTCATGGCTGCGAGTGCAGCCATGATCCAGATATCATTCTGTCCAGCTGGCAATTCTCTTTAAGGTAAAAGTGATCTGAGCAGTTATACAGCCTGATCACTTTTATAGGCAGTGGAAGGAGGTCAAGCCCCCTCCCGGTCCCTGCCTCTGCCTTTACCAGATTGGTCGCATTGGATGCACTGTATAGAGTGAGAGAAACTCCCATTGTTCCTCCTCTTCTGCGACTTCAGAAACCAGAAGCAACAAGGATTTTGTCACTTATGGTTTCAATGTGTTTGTCTACAAGCTGTTACTCTAGCATCTGATCAAACTCCTGTCATTTAATTATGAAATGTGAGCAAACTTTGTGGTTGCATACTAGGGCCCTGTATTCCACAATCTCTAGACTTTGGTTTGCCCAACTGTCATATGCTGTCAAGTAAGAACACTTTAGTGGCTAATGAAAGTACTGCTATGGGGCAGGGTGCAGGTGGACATGGCGTAGTCTAATAATCAGGAAAGTGAAGCCCTGTAAATAAAGAAAATCTGATCAGAGAAATATGTAGAGGAGGTTACTATGACTAATAAAGTTAATAGTCAATGCCTTGAAGTGGAATTTTACTTTTAAAATGCATGTCACATTAATGTCAAATTTTAACTTCTCTAATATGACAAGAGGCAGCATTGACAGAGCATACAAGAAAAGGTAGGCAGAAATTTTTATAGTAAAGTTATTTTGCAAGTAATAGGAGAAGGGTAATGGGAAAATATTATGTGTACAACCATTTTTTGGACAGAGGGGTGAAGTGTTAGAACCCCTGTCAAATCTTTATTGATCTATATGCCCCTGCTAGATATGGCTTTCCCTTTTGGCTGCGCTGACCAAGGCCATTTACACCACAATGTGCTGTTGAGGATTTGGAGGTGTTTGGAAAGCTTGCAATTATGGCAAGACCTCTTTTATGTTTTATTTTGGACCTTAACATTTGCGGACAGTCCTGTACCTGAAGTATCATTAGAGGGGCTATTTGTGAAGGATTTTGTAGCTTCCCCCCTAAGTTTTTTCTTAGTCTCTGTTATAAAATTTTATAAATAAGTATTTTTTTTCCTTCACTGATGTGTGCTAATGAGGCTGCAGTGATGGGCACTGATAGGCGGCACTGTAGATGAAGAACTGATAGGTGGCACTGATGGGCATTGACAGGCATCACTGATGGGCACTGAAAGGCCACACTCATATATGGCACTGATAGGCAGCACTGATTGGAACTGTTAGGTGGCATTGACTGGCACTGATGGGCAGCACTGACTGGCACTGATAGGCAGTACTGAAAGGCAGCTCTGATGGGCACTGATATGTGGCATTGATGTGCACTGGCATGTGGCATTGATGGGCACTTACAAGGGCCATTGATGGGCACTGTCAGGTGGCACTGATGGGGCTACACTGATCATCAGTGCCCTGATGATCAGTGTAGATGTCTCCTCTGAGGAATGCCGATTACCGGCTCTCCTCACGAGCTGTCAGCGTAAGAGAGAGGGCTGCAAATGACCGGCATTTCCTATTTACATGTGGTCAACTGTGATTGGACACAGCTGATCACATGACACAGTCGATTTCATCAGCTCTTTACAGTGATCGGTGATCCGCTGTGTCCTAGGAACACAGCGCACAACCGATCGTCACGTGCCCCCCGAGGTCGTGCATGCACAGTTACAGTGGGAGGACGTCATATGGTGTCCTCCCAGAACGAGAGAACAGCCGCCCGCCCGCCCATCATTTCCTTGTATGGCGGGTGGGAAGAGGTTAACACTTTGTTCTGCAGTTTAATACCACGCTCTTCCACAGTCATGACTTTATTCTTTCCATTGTAACTGGGTAATCTCAGTTATTGAAGTTTACATCCTTGGTAAGCTACTGTTCTATTTGACCAGCCTATCAGGTTTGGTATCTTTTGTCTGTATGTAACTTGACTGAGACAACCTAGTCCCTGACCAAATTTGAGAGTGCATCAATCTTTTGACATTTGTTTGATAATGTTTGTATCATTGTCCTTGTCTTGAATAAAAACTTACTGAAAGTGAAAGTTTGGAGACCCCTGCTGTAAAGTATAGGATGGTTTAGTTCCACTTGATTGCAGTGCATGCAGTAATGCACTGCAAAGGTCTGAATCTGGCCTAAATGTTTTTACATTGAGAGAGTTGTGGTTCCTGTGGGATTTTGATAAGGCATCCAACTGCAATTCTGCAATACAATACACTTACCTGCCCGCTTGCTGCCTTCTCCCACATGTAAACTGAACATGCAAAGCTTAGCTTACTTTGCTGGCACAATCTCTATGTACTGGAATGACTGAGTCCTGCATGCGCAGGAGTGACATTATCCCACGCCGGCCAATGAAGATGGCCGAGGATCAGCATACAGCTCCACTTTAGGGGAATAATTTCAATATGAATAGCTTTGCACAGTATGCCTGTCCTACAAATAACAAAAACATAAATACTCAAATGAGCCTAATGTTATCCAGTTTTAATGCCTATGAATTACTATTCATTTGTTCTGTTGTGTGCTTAGAAAAAGCTATAAGGTTGCTGTTGTATTTGATAAGTAGTTCTATGCAGTGAGCATAGAGAAGCAGCTGTGCTCCTGTACAGGCATGCAGGATTAGGTGTTTACTCTTCAGGATGAACAGGTCATGGCTGGATACTGAGATTACCTCTGTGCATGATCCGGCGGGAATGCATATGTTCCACGGCACTGCACAACTGCACAAAGTACTTCCATACAGTTCTCTCTGGTATTAATCGCTTCTGTTTCTTAAAATACTGTAAAGAGAAAACAATGCTTGTCACAAGATAGAGTTCAAGAACGTAAAGAAGGTGAAAGGTCGATGGAGAAAAAGTGGGAAATTAATGCATAGCATGTCTAGAAGGGTTCACAGAGGGCAGACGAGAGACACCAGAAAGGGAAAAACATAGACTGAATAACAGAAAAAAAACCCTTGAAAATCTGAAGGTGTGCATTAAATAGGAACTAAAAATATAAATGGCTAAAAAAAAGCAATGGCAGAAAAAATGGCCCCGAAAACACATTCTCTTTTAAAATGTCAGGGAAGAATCATAAATGATACAATAAAGCCGAAGTTTAAAATAAGAAAAAAAAATCAGGAAAAGGGACATTACATTTTCCCCTAATCTTCTGTGTCCTGCTTTCCCCGAAATCTTCCTCCTCCGATGCCCCCCCCCCCAGCCCCCCACTGTAATCTTCAAGTGTCTCAGGAGTTAATAGAACTAAGGGGTTGTGACAGGCACTCATCAAGAGTGCCTAACTATGCTTGCCCACCTCCTCCATTCATAGTAGCCATTATTACAGCTTCTATGAATGTAGGAGGAAGACCTATCAAACATCCCTCTCTGTTCAGAGTTCCAGTTTCATGCATGGAACAGCTTCTGTGAATGGAGGACCTGGGTGGAAAGAGAGGGGGCATAATCAGGCCATTTTGATGAGTGCCTATCATAGCCCATTAGTTCTGTTAACCCCCAACCCACTGTACAATTACGACCGTGGGGGTGGGAGGGCATTGGTGGAGGAAGATTTCAGCAAAAGGAGGACACAGCTGCTCAATGCACACATCTCATGGACGGTAAGTAATGTCCCTTGTGCTGATTTATTTATTTTAAGCAAACAGGCTTTAAATTTGAACTGAACAAATAAATTGCTAAAAAATAAAATAAAAAGACAGTAATGGCCCTGAAAAAAAAAAAGACACCTATACTCTAATCTTCAAAAGTGAGAACAGAATGAGATTTCACTAACACCAACAATACTGATTAAACTTCCTTTTACAATACAACTATCAAAATGCAATGATTAATTATCTTCATAAAAAATAATACTTTCACTAATCTCTTTATAGTGCAGTCCCACAGTAAGTACTTCAGAACCAATTCTAGACCATTCCCAGCCTTGAGAGCTAAACTAACCCATTTACTACATCCACTGAATCAGCTTCGCAGAACAAAACTCGCTCTGACAGGTGGAGATGCCTTTTCACTGTAATGAGCATCTCATGTCTTAATTACCTTGAACAACATATTTAATGCCTTAGAACCACAAACTGTGACAAATGGACCATTCGCCTGGAGCAAACTCTGAAAAATACATTATGAGCGTGTATAAAACACCAAAAGCTCAGTGGAGCTTCTAAAGAGGCCCTCCTATCATTCACAAAGACTATATAAAAAGAAAAAGTAGAGCAAGAAGAAATGACAGCTAATGTAAGGTAAATGGCATTTTTCTTTCTGCAAGTACAACTAAACCTACTGAAGAACCTGAATAGCAGGAAGTTTAGCATTTGGACAATCCTGAAGAAAATGTCTACAAGTATAAAGAACATTGCTTTCTCTATATTTAATCTTGAAGTATGTGTACAGTTAACACTTTCTTTTTTTTAGTTTTGAATAGTTAGGAAGAATTAAAAGCTCTTTCAGGTTTTTGTTGATGTCTATTTGCCTGTTGGGTAGATTGGTAGATTCAGTCTCTATTAGTCCTGGTGACCGCTGTTATCGAGATAACGAGAAAATTATGGGAAATCCAAAATTTTGAATTTGTCACAAGAACAAAAGGTTAAAAAAAGTCTTCCAACAGAGACACCTGTTCTATAAACAACAAATAAATTAATTCTTCAACTGACTTCCTGCTGCTTCTCCGATATAGGAAGTGAATGGAAATATACCCAACAGAACCAGACAGCAAAAATATAAACTGACGGGGGTTTAAAGCCTTGAAACCTTCCATACGCTACCAAAACAAAAATTTTATACATTATTTTATTTAAGTTCTATATTTAAACTATCTGTGGAGAAAAGAGCCCCCCCACCCCAAAAAAAAAATACAGTGTAAACCAAACCAAGCATTAGAAACCTAGACTGAGGTTCAAACCGCATCTACTTTTTTTTTAAAAATGGGGTGGAGCTACAGCACTTTAACGTTAGTTTAATTTCAGTTTTAAGAAGGGATTTACAGTAAGTAAACACTAATTGTATCAGATATATTTAGAATATATTATGTTTTAAAATACTAGAGTAAGATTACATTTGCTTTATATGTGTGTGTGTGTGTGTGTATATATATATATATATATATATATATATACACTCCCCGCCTCTTTATTACATTTGTTCAATTGCTTGGTAACACACACTCCTAATCAGCAAAACATATGGCAGCAACTCAATGCATTTAGGAATCTACTATAGATGTGGTGAAGACGACTTGCTGAAGTTCAAACCGAGCATTAGAAATGGGGAAGAAAGGGGATTTAATTGACTTTGAACGTGGCATGGTTGTTGGTGCCAGACAGGCTGGACTGCTGATCTGCTGGGATTTTCACGCACAACCAATTCTAGAATTTACAGAGAATGGTCCGGAAAAGATAAAATATCCAGTGAGCTTCAGTTGTGTGGATGAAAATGCCTTGTTGATGTCAGAAGTCAGAGGAGAATGGGCAGACTGGTTTGAGATGATAAAAAGGCAACAGTAACTAAAACAACCACTTGTTACAACCAAGGTATGCAGAATACCATCTCTGAATGCAAAACATGTTGAAGCAGATACTATTTTGCCAAAATTGGGATGCCTGTCTTTACATGCACATGAATTTTACTGGCATCCCAGTGTTAGCCCATAGGGTTCAATACTGAGTTGGCCCACCCTTTGCAGCTATAACAGCTTCAACTCTTCTGGGAAGGCTGTCCACAAGGTTTAGGAGTGTGTCTATGGGAATGTTTGACCATTTTTCCAGAAGTGCATTTGTGAGGTCAGGCACATATGTTGGACAAAAGAGCCTGGCTCGCAGTCTCCGCTGTAATTCACCCCAAAGGTTTCTCAAGCTATCAGGTTGAGATTAGGACTCTGTGCAGGCTTTGTACACTACTGCGCAGTCATGTTGGAACTGGAAGGGGCCATCCCCAAACTGTTACCACAAAGTTGGGAGCATGAAAATGTCTTGGTATGCTGAAGCCTTAAAAGTTCCCTTCACTGGAACTAAGGGGCCAAGCCCAACCCCTGAAGAACACCCCCACACCATAGTCCCCCCTCCACCAAACTTTACACTTGGCACAGTGCAGTCTGGCAAGTACCATTCTCCTGGCAACCACCAAACCCAGACATGTCCATCGGATTGCCAGACAGAGAAGTGTGATTCGTCACTCCAGAGAACATGTCTCCACTGCTCTAGAGTCCAGTAGTGACGTGCTTTACACCACTGCATCCGACGCTTTGCATTGAACTTGGTGATGTAAGGCTTGGATGCGGCTGCTCAGCCATGGAAACCCATACCATGAAGCTCTCTACACACTGCTGTGCTAATCTGCAGACAGTTGGCGACTGTGCACTGTGCGCTTCAGCATGCGCTGACCCCGCTTTGTCATTTTACGTGGCCTATTTCTGGGTGGCTGAGTTGCTGTTATTCCCAGTTGCTTCTGCCTTGTTATAATACCACTAACAGTTGACCGTGGAATAGTACCAAGGAAATTTCACGGATGGACTTATTACACAGGTGGCAACCTTTCACGGTACCATGCTTGAATTCTCTGAGCTCCTGAGAGCGACCCATTCTTTCACAAATGTTTGTAGAAGCAGTC